AAACACAAGGCTTCAGCATGATGCACATTTTGTTCTGCACTACAATAATTGCATCACAAATAGAGTAGGTTACATTTTACTTATACATCATAAACACACCAGTTATAAGTTATTTTTAGATTTATTTATTTATTCATCTGTAACGAGATCATAGACCAAATATTTGCTCTTTATTTTAGTTTGTAGACCCATCTTTTTAAGTCACTAAGCTAGCATTCATTTCCATCCTGAAAAGTATATGTATATGTTATTGTATTGTATGTATGTGTAGTATATTAATATGTATATATTATAATATATATATATATAATATAAATAATAATATATATAATATATATAATATATATATAATATATATAGTTATATATATATATATATAATATATATATATGATAATATATATATATATGTATATATATATATATATATATATAGTATATTATGTATATATATATCAATATATATAATATATATATATATATATATATATTATATAAATTATATATATATAATATATATATATATATATATATATATACATATATATATATATAATATATATATATATATATATATATAATAGCTAATATATATCTAATATATATATATAATATATATATAATATATATATATATATATATAGAATATATGTATATGTATATATATAAATATAATAATATATAACATACATTTATATACATATGTATATGTTATATATATGTATGTGTATGTATGTGTATAGACATTGTGTGTGTGTATATATTATATATATATATAAAAATATATATATAATATTATATATATATATCATTTATATTTATTATAATATAATATAATATTACATACATATATATATATAGTATATGATTATATATATATATATATAATATATATATTTATATATATACATTATATACACATAAACACACACACAATGTCATACACACATATGCAAATAAACATATACAATCATAACATATGCAATAACAGTATACATATACATATTAATATACATATAATATACATATACAGCCCTATACATAACATATACATAAATAAAAACATATACATATACACATACATATACATATACATATAACATATACATGACATACATGACATATGTACATGTACATGTACATGTCATGTACATGTACAGACATGACATATACATAACATTATACAATATATCTATATAATATATAAATATATATATATAGTAATATATTAATATGATATAATATACACACCATACATAGCATACATTATACATATAATCGCATGTAGGTATTATACTATAACTCATCATATAATACATAATACAAATACAATTATATACATTAATATACGAATATATATACAGACATATGATATACACTGGTTTTTATAGTCACAAATACTATATGTCTTTATATATATTATATATATATATATAATTATATAAATATATATATATATTATTACTATAATATATATATTACATATATATTACATATATATATTATATACCTATACAAAATACCAAAATATACATAATATAAATAAATAAAAATTTAATTAATTATTATTATATTATTATATATATATCTACATACATATACATAACACAACATTATATTATACATATTTATTATACATAATTAAATTATTAGTATATATATGATGCTTATAACTATAATTATATATATATATGTATATAATATATATATAAGTAATATAATAAATAATTATAACACACACTTATATATATTATATATATGTATTTATGTAGTTTTATATGTAATGTAGATGAAGTTCGTTGTCATTATATGTGTATAAATGATATATAACCATTATAATTAACTATAATACTAATATATCTTATATATATATATAAAGAGAGAGTGAGATAGTTATATAAACAAAATATATATGTGGCTGTAATTGCTGTGGTGTGTGTGGTTGTTTTTGTATGTGGGGTGTGGTGGTGTGTGTGTGTGCTTGTTGGGTGTGTGGAGTTGCGTAGAGTTATGAATATATGTATATGGGATATGGACATTGATATATATCCTAAATTATTTGAATAGAATTAAAGTTATATTTTAAAATTTATTAAAATTTAAAGGTATATTAATACACCTATACTATATTATAATATAGTAGTGGAGGTATAGTAAATATAATAATACATGCCACAGAGCGCGAGGCGACTATCTACTGAGCAGCATCACCACACACACACTGCACACACAACACAACACATTCACATCACACACACACCATCACAACACACACACACACACCACACACACACATGCACACACACACACATGCACACACACACACACACATCACACACATTACACACAATGCACACACACACACATATCATCATCACACACACAGCACACACACACACACACACACACACACACACACACACACACACACCACACACACACACACACACACACATATATATATTAATAATATTATATATATATATATAATATATATATAT